AGAAGACTCCAGATTCTTTAGGGATTATCGAAGCACGATGCATCTATCCATCTTTTCTCTCCTTGCAGGAACTTCTAAGTGTCCTGTGCATAACTGAAAGGGAGTTTAGTAACTAAGGTAGTAATTCTTCCTCCCCAAGACTCTGAGAGCAGGATCCCACTGCCCCCCTGATGTGGGCTGCCTCCTGTGTGTATGGGAGATCCCAAATAACATGATCCTGACTTGAATGCCTCTGATCAGAGATAAAGCTCTATGCGTAGGATCAAAAGGACAACTCATTCCAAAAATTGTTATCATAACGTGCGCATTATTTTGAATTTTCATTAATTTCAGCGATGGGCTTTGGCAAGATGTAGATTCTAAATGTTAACTTGAAATCACAGCCATGTTGGTCATGACCATTGGCAACGTCACACAGACAGCAACTTCTTACCTGATGAAATCAGCACCTGAAGGACTTTTGACCCTTCAAATCCTCCTTTTGTAAGACGTACCATATTTTATTGCACTTTGCTTTATCACACTTGCAGATACTGTGTTTCTTTACGGATTGAAGGTTTGTGGCAACCCTGCATCAAGCAAGTCTACTAATGGCATTTATTTTCCCAAAGTGTTTACTCATTTAGTGTCCCTATGTCACATTTGGAGAATTCTCACAATATTCCAAACTTTTTACTATTATTATTATATTTTTATGGTGATCTGTGATCGGTGATCTTTGATGTTACTATTGTAATTGTTTTGGGGGGACACAGTGTACTCATATGAGACAATGAACTTAATCAATTAATGTGTGTGTTCTTCCTGCTCCACCCACTGGCCATTTACCTTCTCTCTCTCTCTCTCTCTCTCTCTCTCTCTCTCTCTCTCTCTCTCTCCCCCTCTCTGTCTCTGTCTTTCTCCTTCTCTCTTTCCACCCTTTGGGCCTCCCTATTCTCTGAGATACAACAAAATTGAAATTAGGCCAATCAATAAGCCTACAGTGGCCTCTGAGTGTTCAAGTAAAAGAAAAAGTTACACATCTCTCACTTTACATCAAAAGTTACAAATGATCAAGCTTAGTGAGGAAGGCCTGTCGAAAGCTGAGATAGGTCAAAAGCTAATAAGCCTCTTGCTCCAAACCGTTAGCCAGATTATAATGCAAAGGAAAAGTTCCTGAAGAAACTTAAAGGTGCTACTCCCGGGAAACACAGGGATGATAAGGAAGTGAAACACCGGCTCTGATATAGAGAAGGTTTTAGAGGTCTGGCTAGAAGATGAAACCAGCTACATAAATTCTCTTAAGCCAAAGCCTCACCCAGAACAAGATCCTGACTCTCCCATTCTAAGAAGGCTGAGAGAGGTGAAGAAGCCGCCGAAGAAGAGTAGGAAGCTAGCAGAGGTTGGTTCATGAGGTTTAAGGAGAGAAGCTATGTTTATAACCTCAAAGGGCAAAGTGACGCAGCAGGTGCTGATGTAGAAGATGCAGCAAGTTATCAGGAAGATCTAACTAAGATAACTCATGGAGGTGGTGGGCCGCCTGGGTGGCTCAGTTATTTGAGCACCGACTTCTGCTCAGGTCATGATCTCGCGGTTTGGGAGTTTGATCCCCACCTCAAGTTCTTTGCTGACAGCTCGGAGCCTGGAGCCTGTTTCCTATTCTGTGTCTCCCTCTCATTCTCTCTCTTTGCCCTGCCCCTGCTCATGCTCGCTCTCTCTCTCTCTCTCTCTCTCCAAAATAATAATAATAATAATAATAATAATAATAAAATAAAAAAATAATTCATGAAGGTGGCTACACTCCACAACAGGTTTTCCATGTAGACAAAACAGCCTTCTATTGGAAGAAGATGCCATCTAGGACTTCATAGCTGGAGAGGAGAAGTCAGTGCCTGGCTTCAAAGCTCCAAAGGACAGGCTGACTCTCCTATTAGGGGCTGAAGAAGCCGTGACTTGAAGTTGAAGCCAGTGCTCATTTACCACTCAGAACATTCTAGGGCCCTTAAGAATTATGTTAGTCTGTCTTTTGGGATGAGCACTGGGTGTTGTATGGAAACCAATTTGACAATAAATTTCATATATTAAAAAAAACACTAGGGATAATGTAATTAAAAAAATATGTTAGTCTAGTTTGCCTCTGCTCTATACATGGAATAGTAAAGCCTGGATGACAGCCTATCTTTTTGCAGCCTGGTTTACTGAATATTTTAAGCCCACTGTTGTGACCTGCTCAGAAAAGAAGATTCACTTCAAAATATGACTGCTTATTGACAATGCACCTGGTCATCCAAGAGCTCTGAGGGAGATGTACAAGACCAATGTTGTTTTCATGCCGGCTATCACAACATCCAGTCTGCAGCCTATAGATCAAGGGAGTAATTTTGACTTTCAATTGTTATCATTTAAGAAATACATTTGCTAAGGCTATAGCTGCCATAGATAATGATTCCTCTGATTGACCTGGCAAAATAAATTGAAACCTTCTGGAACAGATTCACCATTCTAGATGCCATTAAGAACATGTGTGATTCATGGGAAAAGGTCAAAACATCAACATTAACACATATTTGGAAGAAGGTGATTCCAGCCTTCATGGATGACTTTGAGGAGTTCAAGACTTCAGGGGAGGAAGTAAACGCAGATGTGGTAGAAATAGCAAGAGAATTAGAAGTGGAGCCTGTAGATATAACTGAATTGTGCAATCTCATGATAAAACGTTAATGGATGATGAGTGTCTGAGCCAAGAAGGTGGTTTCTTCAGATGGAACCTACTCCTGGTGAAGATGCTGTAGATGCTGTTAAGATTGTTGAAATGACAGCAAAGCACTTAAAAAATTACATAAGCTTAGTTGGTAAATAAAGCGTGGCAGGGTTTGGGAGGATTGACTCCTATTTTGAAAGAAGTTCTACTATGGGTAAAATGCTACCGAACAGCGTCAGGTGCTACAGCGAAATCGTTTGCGAAGCAAGAGTCCCTTGATGAGTCAGACTTCATGGTCTTAGTTTAAGCAATTGTCAGAGCCACCCAAGCCTTCAGCAACCACCACCCTGATCAGTCAGCAGCCATCAACATTGAGGCAAGACCTTCTACCACAAAGAAATTACGTGTCACTAAAAGCTGAGATGATGGTTAGCATTTTTAGCAATGAAGTATTTTTAAAATAGGGTATGGACATCGTTTTTGAGACATAATGCTATTGTGCCCTTAGTAGACTACATATAGTGTAAACATAACTTTTATATGCACCGGGAAACGAAAAAATTCATTTGACTTGCTCCATTTCAAGTCTTGCTTTATTTTCACAGTTTGGAACCCACCTGCAGTGTCTCCAAGGTTTGCCCGCACTTCTTGAATTGTAAGCTTTAAAAACAAAACAAAACAAAACAATAACAAAAAACTAACAACCTACGTTGGTTCCCCTCAGGCTTCTTACCTTGTAGTGTTAGTTGGATGGGTTCTCGCCTCATTTTTCCTTAGACTTAAACAAATTACAACATTTTAACAGGACTTCTGTGTTCGCAGTCCCAGGAAATAAATAAGGTTGAATTCTCACATCGGAGTCATCTTGCTTCTCTCTCATTCATTGAATATACTGGAAACACCTTCTGCTTTTATTTGCAAAGCACCTTTCCTTCCCGATTCTGGACCCTGTCAAATTCCAGTGCATGCAGGAAACCTCCTCGGTGTCTGGGCTTCGCAGATCTTCAGCCCTCATCGTCTGCAAGACTTTATTTACAAACTACCCCCTTTGTCTTCCAGTAGTCAAGATGTCCTCTTCAGCATTAAAGCCGATGATCCAAGTTTGATTCCGGTTGCTTTTTGTAGTCCAGGGAATTGAGGTGAAGCTGGGATTGAAACTTCAACTTGCTTCATTCTCGAGCATTTTATTTTTAACCTCATTCTGTAAAGAAAAGGGCAAAAGCTGTGGGTGTGGCGGTGTCTTAAGTGAATGTGATTTCGAGCTCCTCTGAGAATCTTCTAATCAAAATACAGGCATCTCTTTGAAGCGTTCACTCCCCAAAGTCTACAGTTACCGCATTCGTGCCTCAAGGGGTATAACAGAAGATGGCCTGGTACCACCTGATTAATGAGTTTTCCACATCTTTTCCTTAATGAACTACACTGGATCCTGTGTCCAACAAATTGTTAGAGGCCTTTCAGTTGTCCATTGGTCACACCCTTCTCGTCTTCTGCTTCTCCTTTCCCTGGGTTGCAAGTCCACAGAAGAATTCCCCTGGGTTTCCAAGGGGTCACCTTTTGCTCTGGAGAGTTTTCTTCTAGATGAAAGGGTGTTTTTTTTTTTTTTTAGATGGGAGAGGGGTTCAGTCAGGTCACATGGAATTGCCATGTCTGTACATCAAGATTGGTAGAATATTGATAGTTTCATACGGTTCCACCTGACAACTTCTCCTGATAAACATTCTACCTAAAACAGCATTTTGAAGTGCATGTCTAGCTAAAACCCACTGTGCAGTTTTTTAAAAGAGAAACTTGAAATATTTTTCCAATGACGAAACTTGTGTTTCTCTAACCTGCTCCCTTTTCTCTTTTCTGAGGATCAGGGAAATAAGAGACAAAACCCTCATATTTGGAGAAAGTCACATATTTTGAGCTGGATGTGAAATAAGTAGGAAATCCTTTGGTCCCTGTGATAGAATTTTTTTCTGAAAGTTATAAATGGGAGTTATCATGGAAACTGCTTTGAAACCTTAACTAGAGCATTCACTATAAATAAGAGAGGAGCAGAAGATTAATAAATCTGATAAAGCTGAGAAAGAAGAAAACTTGAAATAAGAAATGAGGACTGTACCTCGTTTGAGCATTAATATGGCCCTGAGTACATATATAGGAAAATCAAAGACTTGCTCAAGGCAGAGCGTGCGAAGCCATAGCTATTAATGTGTGCTTAACTCTATTGCCTGGGAGATTTTATTAAATGCAGCGGCCAAGGAAATTGACCTCACTTTTTTTTTTTTCCTTTTTTGGGTTGGATCCTTGCTCACGTCACGTAAATGAATAGAGCTGACAATTTACTGGCTCATCAATGAAACAATATTAAATTATGAAGATGTAAGGAAAAAATCCTACGCTAACATTGTTGCAGTTTGAAAGGTAAGCTGTCCCCTACAAGAGTAGGAGATATTAATGTTCATTTAAAAACCTATATAACATAATGCCAGGTGATACACATTATAGGGTTAAGTGGCCTCTTGATACCTTTGATTCACTGCTGTCCTGGAATGTATCTCATTAGCAACATACATGAAGAGGCTCCCATGTTTTCTCTTGTTCTGTCTTTTAAAACGCAAAAATACCACTGTTCACGCTTTTAGAGTGTTTTATTTTATGGGATATTCTGACAAGTTGGGCTCTACTGAATGTGTGTTACAGTGATCGTTGGGTTCCTTTTCAGAGGTTTTGCCCTTGTTTTTATTGGTTCGCCATACTGACCATGAAACATAGCCGTCAGAGCCAGACTGTTTCTTAATTCTTGTCTTTCGGGGATGTGGAAGAAACAAAGTATTATTTTTCTTGCTGTCTTGTCCCTTGCTTACGGTTGGAAGCCTCTTCCTAATCCTGTCTTCTGTGAACTTATTAAAAGGACTTGGTATCCCGTCTCTTACCAATCGAATACCTAGTTCTTCCCAAGTATACCTAGATATTAAGTCTTTACTTCGCTTTTGAAAGAAAATCATCCTGCTGTTCTTGGCCACCGTCGTTACTCAGTTGGTCATGGACCCAGGCTCGTCTCTTGAATTTAGAGCCCTGTTGTAATGACTGCCTGACAGGATCCGAATGTGGAGAGGTCCTTTTTGTGGAAATAGTTCCTGCTTCCCTCTGACCCTCAAATGGGCTTCCAAATCAGGAAAGGTGACAAACCACTGCCCTAAGCAGTTAGCTCTTCCGAGGCAGTATCAGTAATTTATTTGTCACCCCCAGTACCTACTGCAGGGTCTGGTGCAGAGTGGGTGTGCAAGAAATTCGTGCACACTAGCTGACGATGATGCCTCTCTGTCCTGCTCGGTGCTGACCCCTCTGCAGTGAGTCAGATTTTCTGAACAGCATTCAGCAGATTTCTGCTTCAATGTGGAAAACGGCACTTTAGAAGTCGAATTACCTTTTTCATGGCACCCAGGTTGCTTGCTTTGCAAATTGAGAATAATTTAGGCAATGGGAGAATATGTTTCCATGTGTGAGTGGACTGAAATGAGTTTGGTGTTCTGTCTGCTCCTTTAGCTCAAACTATCGTAAAATGGAGTTCTCGCCAAAAATCATTCAGTTATATGATTCTGGGATATCATCTGTGTTTTGTGTAACATCAGTTTAGTTTTAATTATTGCTGATGCTTAAATCTGTGCTTCTTGTAAACTGAAGGTATGTCCTACCTTAAGAAACCAGAATGTGCTGCAAATGCATGCTTCCTATGCCTTTGCATGAAGGGACACTTATTTGCACTCTATAAATAACTTGGCTTTATAAAATAATTTATCACAAGATTCCTTTAAGTAACCACCTCTCTTAGAGCATTTGAAACATGATTTGATTTGAACAAAATCAATGTCCACTCACTCAACTTTTCAAGAACACATCTGCTTTGTCATGTGAGGCAGGTGACGGGAGAAAAAACAAGCAACAAGGAATGAGGGTCTTAGTGAGCCGAATAGGAATTAATTTTAATTTAGAAAAAAATTTGCTTTTCTAGAGTTTCCCAGGGAAAACACCTTCACCTTTATCACCTCCAAAGTACATAAGGAAAAAAAAAAGAGCAGGCCAATTTTTAGTTTGGAGAAGATAAATCTATTTCTTCGGTGGGTCGCATTCTGCATTATGCATGTGCGTAAAAGTGAGGTTTGCTTTGATCCTGACTATTAAAAGTTTATTTTTAAACTCAGACTGGGCAGGAATCCAGTGATGCTCTTTCCCTGCGTGCATCCTGGTTTCAGGTCCTCAGCCTGGCTGAATGTAGCTAAGCAGCAGGAAGTAGTTGCAAAGTGTGGAGACTTGGTGAGTGTTAGGGGTTTTTTCCCCCCTTCTTCCCCTCCATTTTTGAAATTCAAATTGAATGCAATTTTCAGCTCATTTGAGCCAGAATATACTGTTGCTGAGCTTCAGTGGCTCTTAAATTCAAACTCACAGGAGAAAACAGATATCATCTGTCACAGAGGGTGGGAGAGAGAACACTCCCCCTATTTTATTCACGGGAGGCAGAGCTCTAGTAACTAATTCAAACCTTTCTGCCTCATCGACTAATCATTCACCGGCGAACTTATCAACTAATCAATGAAACCTTTAAGACACTCATCTTAGGAAGTCGGGAGCAATTTCCCCCTCCCTTAAAAAAAAAAAAAGTCATTGTTCAAGGCTATTTTTGTGTTGTTGGGATTTTAATACCTTTTTTGCAAACTGAGACAGAATATCCTGGCAATCTTTTTCCTGCCCTTCCTGACTATTTTTATTGTTTCCATCTTTAATGTCTTTGTCAATGCTATGTATTTATGACCGAGGATTAGCAGAAAGCTTACTGCTGGCTAAGTGAGGCCAAAATTTTGAGTTTTTTCTTCACTGAACAGACTGCCTGAAAAATAGTCTTGTTTCTTGGGGCAGATATAAATACCAATTAAAAGAGGAAGACGCACTCATACAGTCCCTGGGTTTGCTAGTGTGCCTTATCTTCAGGGTGGCTGCTCTAGTGTGGCTTGAGAATGCGTCTCGGGAAACTTCTGCTACTGGATATGTGCCCAGGGAATGCAAATGACGTGAACGAATGATAATCTGAAATCCCTGCTCTAATTTCGGCAAGGATGTGATGTGGCAATTCTGATTCTGAAATCTAGGTTTCATGACTTACCACTGGTGCTTATCTTTGACTATTCTAATGTAATCCAGAATTTCCATGGGAACATGAAGTCCATTAACCTTCTCTCTCTCTCTCTCTCTTGCTCTCGCTCTCTCTTTTTGTTGAGGTATGTCTGTGAGAGACAATTATGATATTATTTCAAAGTAGGTAGGAGAAAAACAATTTGCTCCCTAAATATTATCTCTCATGAAATTAGCTCATACCCATCACATGTGGGGTTTAAAAATGTTTCACAGTGAGTGTATGATCAAGCCATATATATTTATATGTGAGTGTGTGTGTGTGTGTGTGTGTGTGTGTCTACATGTCCTCAAGGTGTCCAGGAATGTGACAGCAGGAATTTCTAAACAAGTCATTTTCACATTAATAAAGGCGTCAACGACTTTATCCTCTAAGTGGTAATGTGCTTGTGCCTTCTGCCCCTGGTGGAAGACATTTATTTCGTTGCTTTTATAAAAAGAATACCCTCACTTGTTAACCTGTTTCTCACTACGATGCCTTAATACAACTACCAAGACTATATTGTTGTTTCTTTGACTTCACTGTAAGAAGCCAAACTACCTTAACGAGGAATCCAATCCACATTTTTAGCTAATTACGAAGTTATTAGAATTTTAACTTTTCTACTGAAATATCAGATCTCTTCAATATGCAGGTAACTACTGAATGCTTACTATGTGCTAGACCTCCATTATGCTGAGATTTATAACATGCAAAATAGTAGTTTTCTAAACCCAAGTGAGGCAGATATTGGAAATGAAATATCAGCATCAATTAGGCAGGAAACGGTGAAGCTTGAGAAGCCTTCAGGTTCTCAGATGATTCTCAAATATGCAGTCCCTCTTGTTTTCCTCAGTCGGTAACCGTTGGTATGAAACAAAAATGATCTAACTTGGAGGTAGGAGAAAAGGTGAGACACAAAATAATCAGTGTAAAGGATAAGCAATATATATACGTAAATGCTAAATGTATCCTATTCTTCAACAACTGCTTACAGTGCTGGGTAAGTCAGGATGGACAAGTGGGGTGCTGTAATCCTGCATTGTAAAGTGGGTAGGCCAGGGGTGAGCAGAGGAGATCAAGGAAGCCAATTCAGGAGGGAGGAAAAGCTGGAGTGGAAGGGAGAATGTTTGAGGCAGGGGCTTGGTACGCTGTGTGGGAGCTTGCTCATACCCAGAGGGCCAGTAGTTAAATTTCTAGAAATTTCATGAGCCAGCTTTTACAATATATCATTAAAAATTAAATTATGTGAACTTACAATAAATCACTTATATTAAAAACAAAAGTAATGAATACTGAAAACCTATCACTTCCTAATTATATCCCTCCCCATGCATTGCAATTATCTGTGCTCTTGAGATGTGTCCATCATATTGGGAGGTGGAAATACCGTCTGTGATGTGCTGCACATCTCTTCCCAGCAGCAGGTTCCATGATGCTATGTTGGTACCTTGACATCAGCCATGGGAAGAGTATTTATTCCACAGAAATTGGCGAATGCTAAAAATTGGGGCTTTTTTTTTCATTTGAGAGCCAATTATTAAAGACAAAACAGACAACATGGAGAGTGGAGGGTGGGAGCAGGGCTAAAAAGCTGGGAGGTGTGAGAGGAAAAATGCCAGAGAGCAGGGTTACAGGAAGAGAATGGTTTCCTTTTATTATTGAAGAGCAGAGCATTATGTTGGGCAAACAGTTCACAGTCTTTTAGAAATCATTGGGAGCCATTGACCATTTTTAATACATTTTATTATTCTTGTAATCCATGTTCTCTATAGAAAATTTGAAAATAGAATAATAGCTTATAATTCTATAATTATTGGTATGTGCCCCATACTTTTTAAGTGCTTTAAATATAATACATCATTTAATCCTGAAAGTAGCCCCATCGAGTAGTTGCTATTCTCCCGTGTTAAAATGGGGAAGGTGAGTGCAGAAAAGTTCAGAAGTCTGGCCAAGTAAAGGAGTATGATTTGAATGCAGGGAATTAGTTCCACCTAGAAGTTCACTCTGCTCTGCTGCTGTTCCGTGCAGAAATGACAACCCACGATGATCCCCCCCCTGGCCTCATAGTAGCAACATTTAGGAGGGGGAGAGGCACTCCTTCAGTTGTAGACAATTAAGATTTGGGGTGTGAGGAATCTAAGTGGGGAGGATCCCCTAGCAAATCAGCTTTGAGGGGAGCACAAGCCCAAACTCGAGAAAACCCCTGCACGTGGATGTGAGAGAATATTCATCATCACAGGGATCGAGCATA